AAAAATGGAACTTAGAGAAATCACACATACACACAGAGGTGTTAGAGATATAGTAGATATGCCCTAGATCATTCTCATATTTGATGATTTGAATATATTTTTGTTAACGTTATTTGATATAAAACTATATGGCATTTGATATTCTTTTATCATAATTATTATTAATTATTTGATTAATTGAATAAGGTCCTTCATTAAATTTTGAGATTTCTCATCGTGATAGAGATCATGATAATGAGAGTAAAGTCTCTTATAATTTAATCTAAATTTTGTTCTTGATCGTAGGATTATTGATTTCGACATTAGTAATACGGTTAGATCAATATTCATGTGATTGTCTTTATGGGATAAATATTAGTTGATCTCATTAACTAAATCATACAGATAGATGATGTATGTAGAGATATGATCATTGAACCGATTCATTGGATAATTTCTAATGATTAGAATTACCACAAACTGTCAATATGATATTTTCTTGAAGAATGTGATGTAAGAGTTTCCTTTGATCTGAGATCGTCATAGTAAGTGACAAGTTATTTATTGTGCTTTGATACTAGACACCTATGGCTCTAGGACAATAGTTGAAAGGATATTGGGTATGATTAAATACTTGTAAAATTAGTAATTGATCGAGATGGAATTTGTCAACTCTTGGTAATGAGTTTAAGCTCCATGTTATCGTGAATTATAAACGACCAAACTAAGACCTTGGCCAGGGCGATTGAATGAAAGAAGAAAAGAGTTTCAAGAAAAGAGTTTCTTAGGTCATTCAATGATCGATTATATTTGACATGAACGCATAGTTGGTCGCCTATTAAGATTTGACAGTTGAACCATATCCTATGGTGACTCAGAGCTATAAGCACAGAAGAAAATACTACTTTATTCTTCTATTGGTTCTTGAGAGTAAATTGTATACTCCATTCTATTCGGTCGTTAAGGAGTGTTGTTAGACACCACCCTTGATTAGTATATTGATGTGATCAATTTACTACCGGCTTAGTATTGAACCTATGGGGTCGCACACTAACAAGTGTTCTGATCTTTGCTAAAGGATTCATTACTTTATTATGTTGTTTGATAATTAAATTATAGAATTTAATTAGTCAAATAAATTTAGTTATTAGTCAAAATAAAATATTATTATATTCTTTGCTAGCACAGAGGATATAATTAATATTGTGAACAAATTGAAGTTTTCTATTGGGAATAGAAAATTAAATTATATATCTTGGTTAAAATATATATGTGATGTATATAACTAATATTTATTTATGTAAAGTATGTATATAAAATATTAATAATTAATTATTTGTTAAATTCAATTTTGAATTGAATTAACTTATAAAGTCCATGAAAGGACGAGCGGCTAATTTAACCCATTAATAATGAGATTTGATTGTTCTATATTAAAATACTAATAAGGATTTTATAATCTAAATTGGAATTGGACTTTGTGGAAAGTACATAAGATTGTCAGTCACGAGACCCGTTGAATGGGATTTCGAATTGTCCATTGAAAATTCCATAAAAGTTTATTTTTGGAATAAACTTTTACCCTAAGTAATCATTACCTCAACCAAATAGGAAAATAGTTTATAGGTGATGCTACATAAATTTGCACCATCATTCACTATTGAGAAGAAAAAAAGTCGCTTTGTGAATGTGAGAATACAATACAAAGTCAAGAGAGAAAATACAATTACAAGAAAGTGTTTCTTGTTCTTCTGTCATTGAGTTGAGTTTTTTGAGAAAAATTTCAGCACAAATTTTTCATTCAATTTATTTGCGTGTTTCATTGATCAAAGAGTTAATAGCAATGATCGATCTCGGTGTGGATACGCATAGAGTTTTCGCACTATCGAAGAATTTTTGAAACGAGACTCTTTTCACAAGGTACATTTCAGATCCGATCTTTGACATGTAAATAAATTTTAAACACGAAAAGACTTTCTAGGATTGTTATTGTCTTCCGGTGCGTGTTACGAACACCTATATGCAATCCTTCGAGAGGGAGACACATATGTACACACTTAATACACATAATATTGAAATAATAAACATAAAAAGAGTGGTAGAGTTTTTAACAAATTCATAACAAGATTATTTTACTTATAATGCCAATGAAAGTAATTTAAATTTAATATCAGGATATAATATTATTTAAATTGTAGGTAATATAACTACATTAAAAAAAAAAAAAAATATAAAAAGTATTACAGAAAAGCGGAATTGAAAATGTCAATGGTGAAATAGACATACAGCATAGGATATAAGGGGTAAAATGACTATTGATCAGAGTTAGAGGGGGGAATTTTATCTTTAAAGCAAACTTGAGTATTACTTTTGTTATCTCATTTTAGGCAGCATATTTTCTTTTAATATGTTAAAAAAAATATTCATCTTAAAAAGATTTTTTTCTTCATATCTAGAAATAATTTAACCTTAGAATTTTATATTCAATAAAATAATTTATATTCACACAAATATTTGATTCTCTTTAAATCACAAGTTTCAAAAATTTATTTTTTCTTAAATTTGGTGTCCAATCAAATATAATGTAATATGATTCATCTTTTGATGCACTATATTCTTATCGTCAAAATCTGTACATAACGTAATAATAATGATCTTTTTTCTCCTATATGTATAGATTTATTTGATGAAACAATTAGAAAAATAACTTTAAGATAATTTGACATAATTGAGAAAGGAAAGGAGCGAGTACATGTGCGAGTAAATGAGAAGCGAGTAGGATGGTGTGTGATTGGTCAATAATTATGAGACTGAGGATAGAGATTACAGGTGAGAAGGATGAGAGTCAGCTTCCACTACCGCCACTCTTCTCCTTTCTCAAATTTCGGCGCTGGCCTTTTTTTTTTTTTTTTTTATTATGTTTATTCTTCTTCTTCTTTTTTTAGCAAATATACCACTAGGATGACTGCCTAGTGAAAATTTATTCTTCTTTTTAGTTGCAAAATAAATTTATTAAATTTGTTGTTATTTTAACAATTTGATATTTGGGATTTGTTCTTTATGATTTTTGAAAGTTATGTTTCAAATTGAGCTCATTTGGAGTAAATTTGGNAGTTTTGTAAATTTTTGTAAAATACATGAACTATCAAATAATTCTAAATGAGGAAAAGACTATAAAGCCCGTGCTTGAATGTCAACTTCACATTTTCTTTTTGCATTTTAGACAATGGCAAATAATTATCACAAAAGTACCAACTAAAGTAAACAACTTGCATATATTGAATATAATACTTTTGAAATGTGTACTTAATAAATATGTACGGCTTTTGTTAACCCTCAAATGGTAGAATAATCATGAAATAAAAGAATAGCGCAGAAGGATTATACTTTATTTGAGTAGTGTAACAACAAATTTTCACCTCAAGAAAAATAAATAATCAAGACTAAAAAATTGCGCAATAAATGTAGTATTTGATTTCAATAAATGAAAGTGTTACAATCTCTACGGTATTCTTCTGATTCTTCAAGAAAATAAACTATCTTGATGAGCTTGATTTTGATTTTGATTCAAGGACTTGTAAAGCTTGGTCTTGAATCTCCTTCTTGAGCTTGAATTTGGATTTGATCACGAACAAGTAATTTGATCTTGAACGCCTTGGTATTTGATTTGGCTTCGTTCTTGATCTTGAACTTGAACTTGTAGCTTGAGCGCTTGAACTTGTAGCTTGAGTGCTTGAACTTGTAGAGAAATTTGCGGTGCTTGATCCACGAGTTCTTTGTTTGCTTCTTGTTATCGCTTCTGGTGTAGTCTACCTTTATGAAGACCTCTATTTATAGTTGTAGGGACTGGTGTGGCTCTGCGATTTGATTGGTCCATTTGAACTGACCAATACCATCCAGACACTTGGCACAACTCTATTAGTTGTTGATTTGACTTGGTATGCCACCCTTTCTTGACACATGGCATGATTTCATTAGCTCATTTATTTATCTCGGATCACCACATCATTTGATACGTGTCATGATTTTATTGGCTCGTTATTTTGATTTGGACTGCCACATCACTTGATACGTGGCATGAGCATGGGCTTTTAGATGGACTAATAGCCATTTGGACCTTGGGCCAATAAAGTGGACTTATCATTTAATTTGTCGTCTAATTAAATGGACTAGCCCCATATATATATATATATATNGAATTTAATATGGTCTAAATTATTTTATGGATTTAAATTCGATAAAATTTAAATGCTTACAAATGTCCCTACTTCAAAACTTGTTGTTGTTTTGAACTTGGAAGACTAGTCTTGAAGTACCAATTATATGTGATAATTGTTTTTCACTTAATTTGACATCTTGCTTCATTTGAGTATTTGGCAGCATACGTATATGCTGCAAGGCTACCAATATTTGTGTGGTAATCAATAGGTTATGTAACACAATGATTCAATATTTATTAATCATTTTAGCATGTTGCATTACGGTAATGTCTTATGCATTTGTCTTCCAATTGGAAAGGGATTTGGTCCCTTTTTTTAAGGATGTAATCGCCCTGTCAATTCTCACATAAACTTATTTCCTTATTTTAAGGAAACGATTTTGTCGTTTACAGAATTAGTCAAAAGATGGTAATTCATGGTAATCAAACACTGTGAAGGCTTCTTATCCATACTTATCCAATGAACTTCTTGCCAGATTATGGGTCAGTCCTCTACATTAAATAGGAAAAATATTTTCTACTTCACTAAGATCTTTATTACACACTACAGGTTCCATACGTGGCAATAGGTGGCTTCAAGATCATCCTTTTGCATTACTTTTTGCACTTATCTTCCAATAGGATAAAGGTATTTGCACTTATGGATTCAAATACCATTCTCATTTCCTTATTTTAAGGAAACAAACTTGTTTAGTATTTATAGAATTCATTCCATAACCAATAACTCGTAGTTGTGTCCACGCCTATAAATACTAGCCTTGAGATACAATTGTATTCATGCGTCCCTGATAGATGACCCAAGCAGACTCGGAAGTTGGCTTCTCTTAAGTGCTTTCAGTTCATTACATAGTGCTCTCGTGAATTTGCGTGGAATTTTACGAGTTTAATCTTCTTGTACATATAAATATTTGAATTCATACTGATTTTCTCCTCTTTTATTTTGTGCATCAAGCAGGTGACACCTTAAAGATTTAATTCATCTGTCCTTGACAGGTGAAGTTCTTTCCCTTTCTTGTACATTCTTCTACTTTTCATTTCTTTTTCAAGGCTCAAATGGAGTCGATTCTGATACAAACATTAGTTTTAAAGTGGTACCAAAAGTTTACTTCGTTCAGATAGAAGACTTTACCTTATTCTGTTCAAGCGAAGATTTTTTTTATTACTTTAGAGCCGAAGGCTTTACTTTAGCTCGACCAATGAGAAGGCTTTGCATTGTTCGGAGTGAAGATCATTACGGTGTCTAATCTGAAGATTTTATGTTGTTCGATCCAAGGACCATTACACCATCTAAGCCAAAGATTTTACCTTAGATGAGGCAAAGATCATTATATCATCTAAACCAAAGACTTTACTTTATATGAGGCTTAGACCGATATATCGTCTAAGTCAAATATTTTACTTTGCCCGACGCGAATATCATTACACCATCTAAGCCGAACTTTATTTTGTTCGAGGCGAAGATCATTACACCGCCTAAACCAAAGATCTTTTTTTTTGTTGAAGATTTGACTTTACTTTATCTGAGGCGAAAACCATTACACCGTCTGAGCCAAAAATTTTACTTTGTCTGAGGTGAAGATCATTACACCGTTTGAGCCAAAAAATTTATTTTGTCTGAAGCAAAGGCCATTACACCGTCTAAGCTAAAGACTTTATCTTGTTTGAAGATTTAACTTTATTTTATCTAAGGCATAGACCATTACAACGTCTAAGCCAAAGATTTTACTTTATTTGAAGTGAAGATCATTACACCATCTGAGCCAAAAATTTATTATGTATGAGGTGAAAACCATTATACCGTCTGAGCTAAAAATCTTACTTTATTTATAAATTTGACTTTTCTTCATCTGAGGCGAAGACCATTACACCGTCTGAGCCAAAGATTTTACTTTGTCTGAGGTGAAGATCATTACACCGTCAGAGACAAAAATTTACTTTGTCTGAGATAAAGACCATTACACCGTCTGAGCCAAAGACTTTACTTTATATGAAGCAAAGTCTATTACACCGGCTAAGTTGAAGACTATATTTTGCAAAGGTGAAGACAACCATCTAAGCTGAAGACTTTACTTTGTCCGAGGTTAAGACCATTACACTGTCTAAATTGAAGACTATATTGTATCCAAGACGAAGACCAGCGAAGATCATTATAGAGTCTAACATGCATATTTTACTTTACTACCAAACGATTTGACTTTTTGGTGCAAAGGAACAAAAATTCGTCCTTATTTCGAGATGCATGAATCAGAGATTGTATGAAGCGTGAAAAAAAAGTTGACCACCAAGAATATCTCTTTAATTTCAATCTTCACAGATAATTTTATGATCTCCTTTATATAGATATATTTCTCCCTTCTTCTTTTTTTTGCAGGTAAAAGAAGATCTCATCTGAAGATACTACTTTAGTAAAGATAACCTCCCAGTCGAAGAATATTTTTTTCTGCAACATAAATCAAGTCATGCAAGGCAACATTTTAAATACTTTCAGTTGAAGATTTGAAGATATATTAAAACCTTCCTTCAAATAATTCAAGATATAAATATTTAAAGATGGTGCAGACTATATCAAAGGCTTTTACCATACACTTGAAGATATACTGAAACTTCCAACTAAAGAATTGAAGGCTATATCAATTTGAAAACTTCAAGGTTATTATTATGAGGGCTTCTTATTGGCTTTCAATTGAAGACTTGGTGCTCAAAAGAATTTAACTTGCAGATTTTAACTTGAAGGCATGGCAGACTTGAAGGCTTCTACTTGACGACTTGACAAATTTGAAGACTTCGACTTGAAGACTTAGTGGATTTGAAGATTTTAACTTAATGATTCAACTTGAAAATTTTACAGAATTGAAGGCTTCAACTTTTGGCGAATTCGAAGGCCTCAACTTGACTTGGTGAATTTGAAGACTTTAACTTGATGACTCAATTTGAGGACTTCCCAAAATTGAAGACTTTAACTTGAAAATTTGCCGAATTCGAAGGTCTCATCATCACTTAGCAGATTTGAAAAATCGAGAAGACTTGGTGGATTTGAAGACTTAAACTCAAAGATTTAGGTAGATTTTAAGAATTAAACTTGAAGGTTAAAGTATACGAGTTAAACTTGAAGATGTAGTCACTTTGAAGAATTCAACTTGAAGACGTGGCAAACTAGGATAGTTGAAGACTTAGCGGAGTAGAAGAATTTAACTCAACTTCAACTTGAAGATTTAGCATGCCAGAGACTTCAAATCAATGATATAGAAAATATGAAGAATTCAACTTGACGACTTAGCAAACTTGAAGAATTCAGGTCAAAGACATTACGGTCTTGAAAATTTTGCAGCCTGCTAAAGACTATAATTGTCTCGAAGATACCAATCCTGGTGAAGAGGATCAAGTCATTAAGCAGTTTATAACAAGTGAGTTTTTTTATACTTTATGGATTTGAAGACTTGGCGGACTTGAATACTACAACTTTAATACCTAGCGGGCTTGAATACTTCAAATTGATGATGTAATGGACTTGACAAAATCAACTTGACTTAGAATTGGAGCATTCAACTTGAATATTTAGCCTCTTATTAAAGAAACTACAATCATTCCATCAAAGACCTCAATTTGACATGGAGGACTTGCCCCCATTGAGCCATCAAAATAAGACAGAGAGTTCAACAAAAGAATATATTTACACCTAATTTTCAAGTGTCAATAAAATGAATTATATTCCATCATACCTCATTTGAATAAAACCTTGGGTAATATGTATTTTTGAACTCATATGACTGAACTTAGAATGAAACTCTAAGCTGCCTACATACCTCGGTGAAAAGGATCAAGTCATACCATAGTTCGAAATGGGTGAGTTTTTTTTCTTTTTTTGCATGTCTTAACTTTTACCTAGGCCGCCTCTTTTGAGGTTTTCAACCCAGCAGTCTTTTTTTTTTGTGTGGGCCGTGCACAGTTTATACTCTTGCGGGCCAAGAGTAACATGCAGTTTATGCTCGTACGTTAAGGATCATATTTGTTTTCTTCAAGGATAGTATCTCTTCATGAATTTCCCATTGATGGGGCCAATCTGTAAACCTTCTGAGTCAATTATCCTGTAAGCGCCACTTGAGTATACCTCTTGTACAATATATGGTCCATCCCACTTAGCAGAGAACTTGCTCCCAGATCGACGAGAGGTAATAATAGGCCTTTTGACCATAAGAACTTGGTCACCCACTTAGAAAGATCTAAGGCGCACCCTTTTGTTAAAAGATCGAGACAGGCGAGCTTGATAACATTCAAGGCTTTGTTGAGATTCTAGCCTCTTTTCATCAAAAGCTTCTAATTTTTCAAGGCGTAACCGAGCATTTTCTTCATCAGTGAGTCCTTCTTGAATGGCAAGCTGCAACGACGGGATTTGACGCTCAAGTGGAAGGACTGCTTCAACTCCATAAATAAGTGAATAAGGAGTCGTTTGTGTTGGTGTGCGATATGTGGTCATGTATGCCCAAAGAGCTTCTTCCATTGTCTCATGCCAATCTCTCTTAGACTTAGAGACAACATTTTTTAACAAGTTTTAGAGCGTCTTGTTAAATGCTTCAGCAAGTCCATTGGCAGCAACATAATACATGGAGGAATTGCGTTGCTTGAAGCCAAAAAGATCACAAATCTTATTCATCAACTTGTTATCAAATGGCTTATCATTGTCCATCAATATATATCGAGGAATGCCAAAGCGATATATAATATTGACTCGGATGAAGTTAGCCATATTTTTCTTCTTTACTTCTTTAAGAGAAACAACTTCAGCCCACTTCGAGAAGTAATCAGTCGCGGCCAAAATGTATAGATGTCTACCATAAGACTTTGGCAATGGACCAACAACATCCAAACCCCAAGCATCAAATAGCCAAGAAGCAACGGTTGGGTGTAATACTTCAGGTGGTTGATGTATGAAGTTAGCATGGAATTGGCAAGCTTTACACCTTCGAGAGTAATCTAAACAATCTTTCACCATGGTTGGCCAATAATACCCCATTCTTTTTATGTGGAAATAAAGTTTTGGCCTAGATTGATGCGCACCACATACTCCAGAGTGTGCTTCTTGCAGGGGTTGAAGGGATTCATCAGTCCCCAGAAAACGTAAGAGTGTTGATACCCAATTTTTTCCTTATTTTTCAAATATATATATATATATATACACACACACACCTTAAAAATAGCGCATATGCATCATCATTTGATTTACAAGCATACATAAGTATTTTTCATAATTTTCCATAAATTTTTAAAAACTTTAAATCAATTTATTTTTGTATTTTTATTATATAAATATCTAATAATTACCCTCCAAATTATTTTTTAAGAGTATCTAATTATTTAAACTTATCGTTTATACCAATATGAGGTTTTAAATATTTTCAGGACATTTCTTATAATTACATTTGCATTTTTTAGGGCCAAATTGCAGATTTTGCAACAATAGCCCATATGCATGTATAATTACATTATTTATGCAAAAAATAACTTTTTATATTTTTTATAATGTTAAATAATTGTTTTTAATCATTTTCATTCACAAATGATATTTTTGATATTTATTAATTAATTTTATAAATTATTTATTGATAAAGTACTGGGTATTTAAATAATAGCCTGATTTTAACCTATTTTCGGACCTAAAACTACCCAATCCCAACCCAATAACCTTTGAGCCCAAACCAAATAACCCCCCGACCCAACCAATTAACCAACCCAACCCAGAACCCCCGACTAATCGTGGCCATTGATCTCCAAGATCAACGACCCATATTACTCCGTCCATTTTTAATTAACCAAACTCCCCTAACCCTAACCATACCTCATCGCCCGCCACCCTTGGATCCTCTCATCTCTCATCTCTCAAACCCTAGAGTCTCCCCCCAAATCTTCTCCCATAATCCCACCGGACATGGGGTTACATGGTTGTTTCTTGCCATATTCTAACTTCCCCCTGGTACTGGAACCTTCTATATACCGCTTGCCCAAACATGGCAAGCGGATTTCATCAACGTCGAACCATAGCTGGTTCAGTTCCTTGGCCTATTTTCGTCTATGTTCATTCTTATTCTTTTATGGTATGAATCTCTGTGTATTTTCGTGATTCCTACTCACCCTAAAATTAGGGTTTCGGATTCCTTTTAAATCGAACCAAATCTAGTTCGATCCTTTGATTTTAAAAGGCATTTCTGTCTATGTTCATCCTATTATATGCAACGTGTGACTTTTACCTTTTATTTATTTTTTAGATTTTTGCCGATTTTACACTTTCCCTAAAATTAAGATTAGGCTTTGCTAATCTGAATGCCATTACGTTTGTAGTTTGAGACATGTTTAGACCTGAGTTGATTAATTTCTTTTAATTCTGCCTAGCATATTTGTTATTGATAGCCACCCCTCAAATGTTTAAAATTATTGCTGGAACATGCTCCCATATCCTCTTTCTATGGATTAGTTGACTAAGTATGAGTATATAAGTATATAGCACAAGTCTGTTTCTGAATTTGTTGTGATGACATGTAGCCTGTTTTGATCCTGCTTTCACCATGCCTTGACTTCCCCAGTAATTGCCCTAATCCTGTTAAGTTCTGATTGATATGATTTCTTCTTGTGATACTAGCATTCTACATTTAACATAATCTGAACTTTTTACCATAAGTCTGTGCACATCAATCCTGCAAACCTGTCTTGGTAACATATGTATTATGTGTTGAATTCATTCTTTTGAAACTTTGCTAAAGTCTGTTCTTAAAACCCAAGCATGCTCTATTACCTATTTTTTTCATGTGCTCAACTTGAATCTGTTTGTATCCCTTAGTGTTGTCCCTTAACCTCATTCTATTCCTTTACTACTTGGTCTCTTTGAGTTCTTATTCTTAGCCGGCTGAAAGCCAAGGCTACTTAGGTTCTGTCCTTTGACCTCCCTAGTGTGAGCACTGCTCAGGGTCCAATTGAGACCCTTGTGAACTCTGACTCACTAGGATTTGATCCCTAATCCCTCCTCTGAACAATTCTTGTTAACCACCCTAGTGTGAGCATTGCCCTGGGTTCTTGAAGCCCTTGGGAACTCTGACACACTAGGGCCTTGGTTCTATATGCTCAACTCTATCTTGTGCTCATTGGGTGAGTCATTCAATTTCTGGCTGTTGTATGTCTATGAGTGCGTAACTTGGAGACTGTTGTGATTTGTGAGAATAAAGGCCAGGCCTGTCCAGGTGTATTTTGGGCCTACTGTAGGCTCCCTGTAGTTATTCTCTTATGTAATTCATGCTATTCATTCTGAGTTTGTAATAATTATTGTAATAATATTTGGGGTATTAATGAAATTGGGAAAGGGATTTTTATCTTATATTTACAATAAATGGGGTAGAAATCCTACCTATAGGTCCAACAATGTGTTATCGTATGTGATGTGTTAGAAATCATGCCTATAGGTACTTTATTATGTTCAGTAATTATGTGCTAGCAACCATGTCCATAGGGTCAATACTTGGTTCAATTATGTTATGGTATGATCCAATATGTATGCAAATTTCTGTTTACGCACTGTTCTGATCAAATTATAGAAACCATGCCTATAGGAAATCACACACTTCACTTAACTTGTTTAATGCCTGCACATTATTAAAAAGCATGATCGTTTGACTAAATGTCTCACCTACTCTTACGTCTACTTCTGTCCGATTAATAGATATCATGCCTATAGGGAATGAATGCTAATAACATCCTTTTCAATCTGCACCATGCTCAATAGATATCATGCCTGTAGAATTTTAATTATTTAAATTCGATATTGCATCATACTGTCAACCTTTAGAAAGCATGCCTATAGGAGCTAAATATATGAGAATCGGTCCCAATCGCCAGTCTCTAGAAATCATGCCTATAGAACCTCACTACTCGCTCTTCAAACGCTATTATCCATGCGATTATTAGGAGGCATAAGTAATTTTGAGAATTTCTAATAGGTTTATTATCCCTAATACGTATAATCACTTAGAGATCATGTCTATAAGTTTATTAACTTATAACATGTAGTCTCAATAATTAGTGTGTAATACCAAATACTCCTAAACTGTATAGTCGCTTAGAGATCACGTCTATGGGTTTCATAACCCCATCATAATCTGCAAATCAGTTAACTTGGGGTAGCATCACCACATATACGACATTGAATTCAGCATCACATAGAGATCCTGCCTATAGGATTCTGCAAACTTATCAAAATCTACAATTTGTCAATGTTAATCAGTTTGGCGTGCATTTGTTGTCCAGATGCGGAGGCTAACTTGAGCCCTTATTTGCTTATAAGTGAAAGTCCTAAATGTTTTGCATGTCGCCTAGTATTTTCCCTTTTGAGCAACCTAAGTTAAAGTCTAGAACCACCCTGAAATAGAGGTCCAAATGC